AAGGTAAGTTTCTTTCTGAAAGTTTCAAAGCAAGTGACTAATTCTGGCAGAATATAGAGGGCTTGCTGCTGATATGCTTTAAACTTTGGATACTGTTTAAGTGGAGGGTGATTTCAACATCTGCCTCTTTTAGTGTCTGTGTCTGGGCTTAAAAACAGTGGGGCGGGGTTAGTAACGGATCTTAATGACTCGTAGGGAAAAGAAGGTTCAGCTGCTGTAAGTGGATTTCCCAACTCTGAACTGACAGTGCTATCTGTTTTCTGAGCCTGATTTTCAAATGCTGACTCTCAGTACTTCAAACAGCACTTTGCCTACCATGAGATTTCACTAAATTTATTTATTAGAATATTATTTTTATTAGGATGAAGACTTTAACATTTATAAAGTAAAGCTCACAAGCTTTGAGATTGCTGGTATTTGAAAATTGCAACTAAAAATAAATTAATGTAGTTTCATCGAAGATGATGGTTTGCTCATCACATGTTTCAGTAATTTCAGTTGAAGTGTGTGCCATTTGTAATGGGTTAATTTTCAGTTAAGAGGTAAGGTTACCACTAAATCTTCTGTGTAAGCTGGTTAATTATAGGTATTCATATACCCAAGCCAAAAGTTTCTTTCAACACTTCATTTTATAAGTTAAGAGATGTAAAATCAGTTCATCTATATCTTAGATGTTTTCTAGTTTGAGTATATAACTGAAGAGAAAACAGAGAAGGAGAAGATAACAAAATGAGAAGGCAAAATTGATCTCTTCGGAATTGCATGTGGTCGTATCTCTTTGATCCTATTGGAACATAAGGAAAATGCTGAAATAGCAAGAAATAGCAAGAAGTAGCAATAAAAATTATTCCCTTTTGCTCTGTATTAAAATCATACCATGGCTGTCTTTGGAAAGATGCATTTGCCAGGGAACAATAGAGGTCTGTTAATTAGTTAAAGTGATGTATAAATAACCCGGAGAAAGAGCTAGAGAATCTTGGAGGCAAATGGTGTATTCATCTGTTGTGTTTTGACATGAGAATTCCTAATTCCTCAAAGTTGAAAGGAAGCAAAGCATCTCCAGGGCAAATGATTCTTCTAGGAATTGTGAGATTGACAGTACCTACTGTGTGTGGCATGCCTACATTGAAATATACAACCTCCTACAAAGGAAAAATCTTCAATTACATGAAAAATAATACGTTTAAAAAGAGGAAATAGGAGAGCAAGAAACAAATACTCTGAACAAAAATCTCAAAAGAGAGAATTAGCAATAGAGTCAACTCCTTAACACTTTTTCATTTGTTTGGCTAAAGTCCAGTTTTCATTGGGAGAGATGGAGATTGAAATGGTAATGACCAAGTAGGATTAAGAGCAATGCACTTTTCAGACAAAGAAGTGTTACCAATTGAGGCTAATATGGGAAATGAAAATGATTTATTATGAGACTCCTATGTTACTCTTAAATTTTGCTTACTAGTAGGGCTGGAAAGTTAGCAGAACTATTTTCCTCCCATCACCATGCTTATGCAACCCACTCACAACTCTACGATTCTGGTTTCCGGCCTTGGAGAGGAGGGAGTAGCTTAAATGGATTATGTAATGCTAGCTTAAAGTTGTTGGGGGAAGAACGTGCGCATGACTAAGTAACACAGCTCTATCCTTTCACATTTGCTCTAATAAATTTTTATTCTGAATGAAATTCTAGAAGGAACGAAATGAGATGGGGAGTCAAAGAGACATGGGGAGGGTAACAGATAGCGGAAATCTTTTCTTGTCTCCCACATAGATTCCAATATCTGGGGGCGAAAAAGAATGACAACTAGGAACAAAGAGAACTTTTATATTTGTCTCAGTAAAGAGCACAGAGTTTTTGAATCTG